GGTCGCCCATCACAACACACTCCTAAGCCAGCAGTTTTGGTGGACTTGTTCGGAACCCGGCCATCCCAATGATCACCGTTGCAACGCTCCTGAGCACATCCGTAAGGTTCGGCCGCCTATTCGAGCTCTCCACAAGAAAGTTGTTGCCTCGTCTTTCTCGAATCTACCCGTTGATAGCTCTGCCACCAAGACAGGCTTCCAGCGTCTCCACCAGACAGCCGTTGTCGAAGAAAAACTAAGCTACCATCCCCCGGGCCTTTTGGGTGGCTACCCACCTCCGATTGCGGCCTCAAAATAACATCTACCGAGGGTCATTCGCTGTACTCTGGTTCAACTGCGCGGGGGCTACTCAATGGTCCTCTGCCAGTATCAACATCGGCCTGACCTGTCCACACCCGACTGCTGTCCCGACTGCGGCGCAGTTCTCGACAGCGCTGGAACAAAGTTCTCATCATATTGCCGGCAAAGGCAAGGGAGACTGGAATGTGGCCAGTCATAGCCAGCCCAAAGTGGTGCACCACCCGATGCTCGAAGTCGTGACTGTTGTAACCGATGCCTAGGCCGAGGTATCGCCGCTCAATAACGCCTTGTGTGTGAGCTTCCAAAGGAGGAACACGACAAGAAGTGTGTAACAGCATAAGTCTTTTAGTGTAATCGATACAACGTGTTAAGGACAACCAACGCGTGTGACACGATGTCCATCGAGCCAATCAGCTTCTCTCCTAGCGTAGGCGCTGGCAGGATTGGCTGGTGACTCACTGACTGAATGTAGCTTGAGATTCAAATTATTAATTGATTTTCTGGCACGATGCGTTCACTCACGTGTAGACCGATCGATAGCCTACTGTGAGCGCGGCTACTTGCTGCCTCTGTGCTACCCGTTAGGTCTCTCCTAACAGTGACCCTTCTGATCAGACTCAAACACCCTTACCATTGAGCCACTAGCTCTTTCGATTGGGAGAAAGTTCACTTACCGCTGGTTATACTATCTGCCTATACTACCAGCTGCTAAAACTGTCAGGGCCCAAGAAAGGAGACCCAAAGCAGAGCGAAACGGATGAGTTCCTTTAGCGGTCGGTGGACGCTCATCAACAAGTATCAAATTTCTTATCTTCCACGCACACAGCCCAGCCTTTACTGGCCGGATGGATGACTGGTACATTGGGATCTTCGTATGACGATAAAGACATTTTCTACGGGTTATGGAATACTCAGGACAGCAGTACCGCGCTGGAGCGGACACTTTGCGGAAAAAACCCAAGACAGACAGGGCCACCAAACACGCACTATTGAGCAGGAGAATAGGTTACTTTGCTTAAATCGTATGGCGACATGCCTGCTTCACTGGAACAGAAAAAAAAAATGCAGAACCCCCAAGAGGACAGAAAAAAGAAACCACACGTACCGAAGCCTCATCCGAAATGGCAAGCTGCCCAACACTGACTGACTGAGCAAGGGCCTTCTTGGCGGCCTCTTCGGGGCTGGCGTCGACGGCGCAGCAAATGATTGGCTG